ATAAAGATGTTATTGCTGCACTGGAACGTAAGTACGGTGGCGAACATAAACAAAACATCTACCTTATGGAATTAAGGAGAAGAGTACAGAGGGCAAACGAGACGTTACAAGACTTTGCAGCTGAGGTGGAACGTTTGGTGCTAATGACGTATCCAGGAGAGAATCACCCATTGGTGGACCGTATGAAAATCGAAACCTTTGTGAATGGCATACGTGACCCTGAGATTAAATGTGCAACATATGCGTCACCAAAAGCGTCATTTGCCGAAACTGTGTCGTTTGCCCTTCCCAAGAGACGGCAAGAATAATTGTTAAGCCCTAGACCCACAAGATTCGCCAACTAGAGACCGAAGGTTGCGAACCGAAATCTCTCGTTAACTCGATCGAAGACGCCATGAGGCGGGTAATAGAAGAAACAAAGTTAGTTGGGATGACTAAGCCCAGGGTTAGATGCTACAACTGCGATAAAGCAGGTCATATTGCACGCGAATGCAGAGCTAAGCGCAAACGATCCAGGTCATCGTCACCACCTCCAACGAAAGATGGTAGAAGAATGGCTCAACAGTCCACCAATTAAACTAAATCGAGCCAGTCCAACGGGGCATGAACTGGCTCCCATCGACGATGGCCCCGCAATCTCCATAGCAATAGTACAACAGAAAAGTCACAACCTAACAACAACTGGGTACATCAATGTTGATAGGCGAGTTCTGACGTTAGATACTGGCGCATCAAAGTCCATCATAAGATCAGATCTGGTAAAGGGGGGAGCCCGCGGCAGTACACGGCAAGATTACCCTGAGACGAGTTTATAGTTGCCGATATCGTAGACAAAGTGATAATAGGTGCAGATTTCATGATTGCTGGATATGAAAGAGCGTGTGGTGACCTGGTCTAACGTCGAAATTCCGTTAAACGTGGGCTACGATGAAAGTACACCCATTAGATGTCTGACTACGGACCATCCAGAGATAATACCGCAATATGCCGAAGAAATAATATGGGTACCAATGAATGGAGATTGTGGAGCCGAGAAGTTGTGGGTGGTGGAACCAGCAAAAAACGTAAACAGCAACATCCTAATAGCAAATGCCCTGGTGAAAAGCAACGACGACGGATTGATTCCTGTTAGAGTTTTGAACCTGTCAAACAAGCAAGAGCAAATTTGCCAATTTTCCGATGTTGGACAATGCACACCAGCTGAAGCTGTAATTAATTTGGAAACTAGCACCGAAAAGTCAGCAACCATGGAGAAGAAGCACCTCGACGGTTACATAAAAGAGTGGACAAACCAATTACACCTTCCGAGAGGAACAAGGCTAAGCAGCTATTATGGAAACATGCCGCTACCTTTGCGTTGACAAAAGAGCACCAAGGAAGAACATCAGTGGTGAAGCATAAAATCCATACAGCAAACGCGAGACCCATTAAACAGCCTCCAAGAAGTGTTCCCCTGGCAAAAAGAGACGAGGTCCAGAAGCTGATAAGTGAAATGGAAAAGAGTGGTGTAATAGAACCATCGTCAAGTCCATGGTGCTCCCCAGTGGTCTTAGTCAAGAAGAAAGACGGAAGCACCCGATTTTGTGTGGACTACCGAAAGTGGAATGATGTCACCAAGAAAGACAGCTATCCGCTCCCAAGAATCGACGACACATTGGACACATTAGCCGGGACGTCATGGTTCTCCACCCTCGACTTGCAGAGTGGGTACTGGAAAGTAGAGATCGCCGAGAAAGATAAAGAGAAAACAGCGTTTGGCGTTAATGGAGGTCTCTGGCAGTTCAATGTCATGCCATTCGGACTCTGCAACGCCCCGGATACATTTGAATGGCTGATGGAGCGTGTGTTAAAAGTGCTGCAGTGGAAGTCGTGCCTCATATACCTGGATGACATCATAGTCATGGGACGCAACTTCGACAGTTTTGCTCTGGTCACAGACAGAGTGCGTGCGGCATCGGTGGCGTCCTTTCTCAGGAAATCGACGGACAGGAAAAAGTCATCGGGTACTACAGCCGGACATTGTCGAAGCCTGAGAGGAATTACTGTGTGACGAGGAGAGAGCTGCTTGCAGTCCTTGAGAGCGTTAAACACTACCACAAATACCTATATGACCAGCATTTCCTGCTGAGGACCGACCACGCTGCTCTCCAATGGTTGCTGCAGTTTAAGAATCCGGAAGGTCAACTAGCCCGTTGGATCGAGAGGCTCCATAGTTATGATTTCAGAATCGAGCACAGAAAAGGCGGAAAATACGGTAATGCTTATGCCCTGTCTCGTCGGCCATGCAAGGTAGAATGCAGGCATTGCTCAATAGCTGAGAATAAAGAGAATATCGTTGATGTCCGACTATTGCAGTTTGAGTCGGGTGAAGACTGGTCGACGGAACAACGAAGAGATCCCATTCTGGGCAAAATAATTTCGGCCATAGAAACGGGCAAGCGACTTAGTCGCAAAGAAATTACCTCCGAAAGCCCTCTTTTAAAATCCTATTGGGCCCAGTGGGACAGTCTACTTATAATAGATGGTTGCTTATATCGCAAATGGGAAAGTGAGGACGGTAAATCTCACCGAACTCGAGACTGGGATGAGCATATTCCAAAGTTTTTACTGGCTTATAGATCGGCCATTCATGATTCCACATCCCGGACCCCAGCCAAAGTTCTGTTCGGAAATGATTAAAGCTACCTGGCGATTTGATATTCGGTGCTACCCCAAACGACGATGTGAACCAAGATGAAGACAGTCAAAACTCTTTTTGTAAAGTCCACGATGCAGTTCGCCATCGAATAAAAATGGTTAGCAACCGCATGAAGGCAAGGTACGATCGAGCGGCAAATACCGATGGGTTTCAAGAAGGGCAACTGGTACTATTGTTCAACCCACAACGAAAGGAAGGACTATGCCCCAAATTGCAAACGCACTGGGAAGGACCCTACAAGATTGTCACGAAAATAAATGATGTGGTTTATCGCATCCAGAGGAGCGACAGTCCCAGGTCGAAGATGAAAGTTGTACATTTGGAGCGGCTGGCCCCCTGCGGAACGGGAACTGTGCCTATTCAATTCTTGTTAAACGTCATCATTGATGATCGCTTAATTCCTCTTTCTTTGTTACTCCCTCGCCTGTATATGTGTTGTTGTTATTGTTCACTCAATGTAAGTTTGTATGTGTGTGTTGCATTGGTAGATTGTTCGTAATCTAGGTGTTACCAGATCGTCTAGAAACTCCTGTAGCGACAGGCAAGGCTCATTTAAATAGGGGAAATGGAAAGGCAGTTAGTCAGTTGTGAATCAGATTGCGAATTGAAACAGTCAAGTAACGTAACGTGCAAAGTAAAGTTGTGTCAATAAAATCATTGTAATAATCGTAATCAGAAAGAACCCGCGTTTTATTTAGTACGAACTGTATTGGGAAATAAAACAACGTCTACACGGGATTAAGTAAAATCCAAGAACGTAACAATATATAAAAATAATAAAAAATTACTCTACCATGTTATAGTGGCACTTATTATTACAATAAAATTAATTAGCAATAAATTATAATTTATACAACTGGTATCACAAGAAGGGTGGGATCTACTCATGTATCTGTAATAATAAAATTCATTTTACAATATTAATTAAAAGATAGAAAAACAGGATGGGGTCTACTCAAATAAATGCTACAGGGAGTATTATTAATTCTGGTTTAAAAAAATAGAGAGTATCTTACAAAATTTAATTATATAGGATGGGGTCTACTCAATCAATATATAGGGAACCAGGAAAAAAAATCAACATAATTTTGTGAAATGTTGGCTTTTATTTTTCCTATATTCCCAAATTTGCCGACTATGGAAAAATTTAGTATCGGCGTTTAATTTTTTCTGGACTGGTTTTAGTACCAGGAATTTCTAATTTCCTTCAATTTTCTAATGGGGAAATTTGAACCAGCAAATAGTTTTCCATTTTTCAACGCATTCAGAAAATTAAAAAATATTGTGTTTTGGAAATAACTCAAATTTATTGATATTTCGTATGTTTTGTTTACATTTTTCGACATACCAAACTGACACTAGTCTTAGTCTGCTTTTCCACAGGCAAATTTTTATTTGGCAAATACTGAGTTTGTAGGCGAGAGGGGTGCGAGGGAGAAAAACAAAAATTTACCTGTTCAGAATTTGCCGTACACGCAAATTCTTCTTTGCTATGTTCGTTGAAAACAGTTTTTTTGACATTTCCTTTTAAACCTATTCGCTTTACTGACACACAGCCGGCTTTTGTTTACAAACCTGTTGCTTTAATTTGTGCAAGTGAAATTTAATTTTTAATTTTTGCAATTTATATAATAAAATATATAAAATATTAAAAAAATCTTTAAAATGCAAACACTTTTGACTTTTATTTTCTTTCTTTTGTATTTGATTTGCAAATTTGGCAAAGAAAAATTTGCTAATGGAAAAGCAAGCGAAAATTTCAAAAGAGAAAACAAAAAATTTGCCAAATAAAAATCTGCCTGTGGGAAAGCAGACTTACATACAATAACAATTTTCTATGTGGTTGTTGTTGAAGTGTATTTGTCAAGGAGTCAATAAAGGAAAATAAAAATAAATTATAAAATTTGTGTGTTTTTAAAGTTGATTTTTTAACATTCCAAACAAGCACGGCATTCCAAAAATATTTTCATTGGTGTAATTTTAATTTTCACTTTCAAATTGCAAACAAATAACAAACATTTAGATCATAATTAAAGGTATGTTCAACAAATTAGCATGTATTTCTGGATTTAGTTAATCGAGTCGATTTAAAATGGTATATGCAAATGTACTTTAATGAAGAGCGATGGTTTTATATAATGGAACGCCATGAACTAGTTAACTACAATACCACATTGACAAAAGAGCTGCATTTAGTTCCGATCGTTCCCTTTGCGAAACTTGTCGTTCCCTTTTGAACTTGTTTTCTCCGGGGACAACACAACGTTACACTATACCGCACAAAAGTAAACAACATAGTAACATGACTGAAGAAGCAAAAGATTACACCGAATATACGTTGGAAAATGATTCCGAATTACGTTTTGAAATAGAAGATAAAGATGCCAAAGTTCAGGTTATGGTAAGTGACCACCTTTCCATTCTGGAACAGATTTCTAATGTTGCATTTTACAGCTGTTTTCCGGGTTTGCTGAGATGTTTGGCACCGAACTGGTAAAGAAGAAAAAATATAACTTCGGCTGTGGTGCCAAGGTGGCTATATTCACATATCAAGGCTGTGTGTTACATCTGTGGGGTAAAACGGATGTCAGCTATATATCTAAGGAGACACCAATGGTTCAGTACTTAAATTGTCATGCTGCATTGGAACAGTTACGGACACAGGCCGAAGAAAAAGACGAACGGGGACCTATTGCAATGATAGTGGGTCCGACGGATGTGGGAAAAAGTACTTTATGTAGAATTTTACTAAACTATGCTGTACGTTTGGGTCGTCGGCCGTTGTATGCGGACACAGATGTGGGCCAAGGTGCTCTGTCAATACCGGGCACCATCGGAACAATATTGGTTGAAAGGCCGGCAAGCATTGAAGATGGTTTAACAATGACAGCACCATTGGTGTATCATTTTGGTTATAAGACTCCATCGGGAAATAATACATTATACAAGGCGGTAGTTAGTAAAATGGCCGATGTTACATTGGAATCGATGAATGTTAATAAGAAGAGTAAGCATTGCCAATTTCAGGTATTTTGGTCATAATAGTGATTATTGGGTTCTCATTATTAATTCGGACATTTTGGTAATTTTTAGCTAAACATTCTGGAATTATTATAAACACCTGTGGATGGGTGAAAGGTGATGGCTATGCTATTCTGGCTCACACAGCCCAAGCCTTCGAGGTCAATGCTGTGTTTGTACTCGACCAAGAACGTTTATATAATGAACTCTTACGGGATATGCCATCTTTCGTGCGCGTGGTACTGTTGCCCAAAAGCGGTGGTGTTGTAGAACGCAGTAAAGAACAGAGGGCGGAAGCTAGAGATCAAAGAATAAAGGAATATTTTTATGGTTCAAAAACACCGTTTTATCCATTCTCATTTGAAGTGAAATTTGCAGATTTGAAATTATATAAAATCGGGGCTCCTCCGTTGCCCGATTCTTGTATGCCAATTGGCATGAAGGTATGTAAGCATAATCTGTCATTTTAAATAAAAATTATATATTATCATGAAATAAACCTAAGTTGTTGGAATCAAGACTCAAAAGACTATAAACAAATTTTAAGAATCGAAATACTTAACTAATATTTTCTTGTAGGCTGAAGATAATAAGACGAAATTGGTTGCTGTAACTCCCTCACCCTCACTTCTTCATCATATTTTGGCAGTGAGCTTTGCAGAATCTAACGAAGACGACGTTATTGGTACAAACGTGGCGGGATTTGTATGCGTGTAAGTAAACTAGAAATTAAATGAAAAAAGTGGCATCGATAACATTTCATTCTTTCAGAACGGATGTTGATATGGAACGACAAGCAATAACCATTCTATCTCCTCAGCCTCGCCCCTTACCGAATACACTACTATTGTTATCAGATTTACAATTTATGGATAGTCATGCGTAACAAAACATGTATTATCATATTGTTTATTAAAAAATAAGTTATGCCTTAAAATCTTAACACTAAATGTATATTTTTCTTTCAATCACAAAATCCAGTTACGCATTGGGTGGTTTTTGTACTTTTGCCAATTCAGTTTTGAATTTTGCGATAGTCTCTCTGGCCAATTTCAGTTTATCCTTTAAAGTGTTTATTTCTCCTTTCACTTTCTGCTTTACGTCAATAATATTTTCCAAAGTCTTTTGTTTCTTTGTCTCAACTGAAAGTGGGCAAAGTTATCGAATTATATAGCGAACAAATAAACACATTTCCATTTGAATTAACTTACAATCGGTATCGTGCGTATAAGGACCACTTGTCAATGGCTGAACGTTCATTAGGAAATGTTGCATTAATTGTGTGGGTTCCTGAAAGACAATCTCCTCATACGATTCAGATACTAAACCCTTTTTGGGATCCATTGTTGTTGTTGAAAGTTCACCATCCACAATGGGTGATTGGAACAATTTTAATATGTGATAGCATGTAACAGGCCGTTCGGTGGGATCGTGAAAGTAGATCTTGATGACAACCTCAAATTCACCCCAGCCGGTTTCAGTTATCTCGTATGGCGGTTTGGTAACAATACGATTGGGATTCGCATAACTTTCATGCAATTTAAAGTGGACTTTCTTTACATAAACAGACATATCCTCATTGTGGTATGGTTTCACATAAACCTTCCACTGATGCGTGTGACCATCTTCTTCACGCTTTTTACCAAACGACCGAGCAATATTTCCATAAACAATAGGTTTCACAATGGTCAAACCTTTTACTCGGCCTCCAGAATCTGGACCAAAATCCGTTGGTATATTTAAACTATTCATTGTTTAAAGATTTCAGGTTTTTTTCGTTTAATAAACACACAAAAATAAACAAATGATGCTGTTCCCCCTCTCTGCTAGAGTTGTGTTATTCGTGAATGAACTTGTTCACATGAAGTATTCACAGAATGGAATGATCGGAACAAATTCCAGCACAGAAAGTAGTCTCATTTGAGAATTTGAAGTTGGCAACCTTTATCATACTGGAAATGAACGTCCACACCACTATCAATGAAGCTAAATTTGAGACAATCTGTCATACAAAGGTAATAGTGCCATACACCGCTTAATATAAATTTAATTTTATTTATTTATTGACAATAATGAACAATCCTTGTTGTTTAATTGAAAAATGTTAATTTATGCCATGTACAGACGAGCGTTGTTCGCTCTCTCATTCGTTGTTCGACCCTTAATTATGAAGTAATTACTTAGTTCCCCATACAAAATTTTCTGAGCGAACACCTACTTTTGTACGTTGTTCAATTCGAATCACTCTCTGAATAACGAAGAAATTTGTCCCATCCCTAACAATTGAGAGTATTTATCGAAAATAAATTAATTTTGACAGCTTGAAAATATTTATCAAATTTTCAAACTTTTTCAGTCAAATTGAAAATGATGAATGAAAAGTAAAAAATTGTCTACGAAAATTGTATGCAGAAAGATCTAAATTTAGTTGTCTAGATAATGCAATATGCATTTCTTTCCCATTTGTTCTAATTAGCGTACAAAACAAGAAACAAATGTGGGGCCACCCAAAAAAAAAACTCTCCAATTTTTTATATGTGACATTTGAATTGAGAAAATATAAAAATTTATGAAAACAACAATATTTTCAGAAAAAATGGAAAACATGAATTAAAAGTTAATAGATATGGGTTCATACTATAGTCAGGAGAAAGAGAATTATTTTTTCTATTTAGATCAACATGTGATTCATGCAAATATGTTACAATTTTGGTGTAAAACAAGAAACAAAAATTTTGAAAAAAATAAACTCTAATGACATGAATTAAGAATAGTGTTGTATGAACGGGTTAATTCATGTACGTAATTCTGAGAGCGAACTACGTTGTTCGAATGCCCGTCAGAACATGGCATTAAACATATCTGTACACCGTAGTATTAAAGCAGTCCATACGTCACGCTTGCATTTAAAACACTACAATCACTGCAGCCAACATAAACACTGTAAACGTCAATCGTAGTTGGCATTTATTTTCTCTTAAATTCTCTCAAAACCAATTTGAACGGCGTTGCGAGTAGACGTGTGTGATACGTGCTGGATAAAAAACGAGGAAAACCTCTGAAAATCGTCAATTTATTCCGTGGAATTTTTCTGCGGAAACAAGTTTACATACATAATTGGACGGTAAAATGAAAGTTATTCTATAACTTCGTGAAAAGTCGATTCAATTTTCCACCAAAATATCAATTCGAAACTACAACAAATTTTCAACACTTGCTACTCGGTGCGTGTTTGAGCTGTGTATGTGTGTACATTCTTTCGACAACGACGTTCCATAATTGGAAATATTAACTTAACTACACATATTGCAACAAAATAGAAGAAAAAAAGAATATATATTTATTTTAATTTGTTATTTATAGCGCAAAAGAAAGCGAGCAACAATAAAACTAAACAAATGTTTGTTTAATGTTGAAAATATAAGATATTTGTGTTTACGTGAGCCAACGAACAACGAAGGTAGTGATTTAAAAAATAGAAAAATACCACCTATAGCTGCTGCAACAATACAAGAAAAATAGAAAAGTGTGGATAAGAGGCGATTTCCAATATGAGGAACAAATTATTGGCAGCTTTGCTGCTGTGCTTTAATATATTTTCATTTTCCTCCTTGGGAAATGTTAAAGCTGGTAAGTTGTTCTTATTGTATTTAAGCTGGAATTAATTTCATCTATTTTTGGGCGTGTTCTCCATGATTGTTCATTCATTGTTATGAGTTGTCAAAGTGGTGCTTCATTGACACTTGTTTTTACGAAAGAGAAGCTTGGTCAATTGAAGAGTGTTGATCTTTCTTGTTGTTGGAGAGAGAGAGGGAGGCGAACGTAAAATTAGTTTCTCTCGTTCTCTATTTTTTGTTTTGTTTTGATCAAGAAAATTAGCTTGGTTTAATATGCGATTAAGTGATGCTACAGTAACGTTTTTTTCGTAAAAAATAGACATTTAGCCGTGTTGTTGTCAAAGAAAAATATACTAAGGGTCATTTTTCATATTTTACGAATAAATAGCTAATTATATAGTTTCGTTTATTTGTACGCCAAAGGTATTTCTCAAACTTTAATCGCGTTTTTCTCGAAACAGTATTTTAACGATTGGGAGGCAGAAAAATTCAAAAACTTAATGCAATCAGTTCCAAATTTGAACACGTTATTCTGGACCTAGGAAGATCTTCCTTATTTTGTAGCTTGGTTTTTGGCCGCAAATAGGCAATTTTTTTCCAAATCCTAGAAAGGTGAGAATGTGGGTATTATAGTTCGCAACGCATTTTATTAGATTCGAGAAAGGCTTATGGATGAATTTAAACAACTAATTCATGGTCCAAATATCAGGTCATCCAGGTCATGAGTAGAGTTGCCATCATCGATTTTGCAAATCAGACTACCTTATTTGATGTAAAAATTTATAACATTTTGATATTCTGATCTGGGACAGACGAACATGTGATACTTATATCCATGGTTTATTCATAAGGTTAACGGACAAGGCCATCTGAAGTCTTCATTGACTTCAAAATTTATAGTTTAAAGAATAAAAAAAATAAAAAATATATTTATAGGAAAAAATATGCGTGCACAATACTACGATAACGTTTTGGTAAAGATATTTTGAGTTTTTATCCTGTTCCTGGTGTTTATTTTGCGATTAAAGAGTTGACAGCAAGAGAAAACTGACGCATGAATTCGACACCCGTAAACCTTATTTGTAGGCTATGATTATATTTCTATACTATTTCCAGGTCTGCGGATTCCAGAGTCTTTGTTTTTACATACATACACAAATTTCAGAAATAAATTTAAAATGAAATTTATTTGCCCAAAAACCAGGTAATCCAAAAGGCGAACTCATTCAAAAGTAAAACTCTGCATCTGTATCTATTGTCAAACATAGTACTTTGAGCGTAATCCTATTTGGAAATTATTGTTTCCACATATTTAAGCGCGTACAAATTGTTCACCTAGACAATTCATTTGCTTTTTTCCAAGATTTGAAATATATTTTTATATTTTAAAAAATTTATTTTGGTATTAAAAATCCGTTTCGCCATTTTCGTAACAACAGCCTTACCTAAAATTCAACTAGCTCGTTCGATGTTTTTTCACCACAAAAGTAGAACACATGTATTTATATGAATGTTACCGAAATACACAGCTTACTTCTTGTTATTCTCTTCAGGTTATCCTACTTTGTGTTACTGTACTATGCACGATACCATTTTCTTTTTGCTACCATGACTTCAAATGTAGCAACATATATTTTCCAAATGTATATAATATTAACCCTACGGTCAATAACCAAAAAAGTATACGTAGATCAATAACCGTGGTACATTTGTACCCATCCAAAGATAGCTCTGTAACTCATTAACAAATTGGACTATAGTGAGGTTTTTTGTTTTAAATTAGTCTATTCGGATCTGATCTAAATATAGGAACTCAAAATTATATATATTAAAATAATATATATTTTAATCTATGCATAAATGATAATCTATCTAAAACAATCATAGTAAATTCGTTATAGCTTTCGAATGGGTTAAGCTTTTTTAGTTATTTTTTTAATGGCACCTTATTTAGGTTCCCTCAACCCCTGTGGAAATTTTTGTGGCCCCAGATGACATAGGGCCATCAGGGCGACTTGTGGAAATCAGAAACTACATTGGTTTTCCTTTGGTATACAGGGATTAAAACAATTATTATTGCCAATTATTCACATTTTATGAGTATAGTGATTGTGATTGGCGCATTTTTAACATTATTTAATACTTTAAAACATTATTTAGTAATAGTTTATACATGTACGCCAAATTATAGAAAATTATAGAAAAAGTTTCAGGCCCAGTATGAAGAATAATTGGAGAATTACGGACAATAATCATTGTTTTTGTCCCTGTATACAAGGGAAAACCAGGGTAGTTTCTGATTTCCACAAGTCGCCCTGATGGCCCCATGTTGTCTAGGGCCACAAAAATTTGCAGAGGGGTTGAGGAACACCTAAATAAGATCCCAATAAAAAAATAACTAAAAAAGCTTAACCCATTCGAATGGTATAACGAATTCACTATGATTGTTTTAGATAGATTATCATTTAGGCACGGATTAAAATATATATTATTTTAATATATATATATATATATATAATTTTGAGTTCCTACATCTAGATCAGATCCGAATAGATTAATTTAAAACAAAAAACCTCACGATAGTCCAATTTTTTAATGAGTTACAGAGCTATCTTTGGATGGGTACAAATGTACCACGGTTATTGATCTACGTAGGTAATAACTTTAAAAAATTTTAAAAATTATATATATGGAAATTTTTTATAATTTTTTTCTTCGATTATGTGTGAAAATTCCTCAAGAATCATTCCTCAAAATTTGATTCAAATATATCCATTATTAAAAATTTTACAGCATTTTTATTCAAAAAAAGGTACAAATGTACCCGGTTATTGACCGTAGGGTTAAAGAACACTTTTTTGAAGATTTTTTTTAATATTTTTTCAGGCAATATGTTTGACCTTTACCAATAGAATATACTTACGCTTACCACACAATGCCTAAGATCTTTGAAACAGTGTTATTTATATTTCCTCCCACCGTGTCTATTTCTAAATATCAGAAAAATACACCTGGTAAGGCATACACAAAACCACTGTTCTTGTTGGAAATGAAATACGCCTTTTTACTAGGAAAACCGCTAAATTATCATTTTTGTTTGGCATCACTTATACGAGTGTCTGTCAATATTCTCTT